TACTCATTTTGTTAAATATGAATAATATAAATAATTACAATAGTTTTGTATCTTGAAAAATCTAAAGTAACCTGTGTGAAATGAAGCACTAGTCTGCATTTATCTTATTTTGTACCTTTAGAAGAGGTTAATGTGCATAAAAAATTAAATATGCCATACATTGAACATGAATGACGAGAACTAAAAACTCCTCTTTCAGCAGATATTTTAGAATAAAAACATAAACATAAACACAATTACTATACAGTTTGTGCTCAGCTAACCCACACAATAATAATAAGGAAATTAAGTATAATATTTAATTAAAATATAAAAATAAGTAACAACAATAAAAAAAACTTACCCAACAGTAGCCAGCCTAGTTCTGTCAACAGAGATGGTCTGACACTTAGAATGCAACTCCACACGAGCTGTAGACTCTGTTGCATCTTTCACAATACCAATGTGGCCTAGAAACAATAGATTGTAAGTTACCAGTACTTTTAACAAATGATCTTTATAATGCCAATACTTTGATTAGAATGAGATGTATTTAATACATAACTAAAACTATTAAGCATTAGTTTACTAACAAATTTAAACTTTCCCTGATGAGTAGCACTGACTACTAGAAACGTCTCAAAATATTTTTGTTAGGACTTTCCCATTACAGTTACAATATCTATGTATGCAGTCTCATATGTTCACTTGTTAATAACCTGTTTGATATATCTAATATAAAGTTCCTTACATTTGACACTTATATATATTGTACAATTAATTTAAAAAAAGACAACTATATCTAAAAAACTTTTTTTTTTTGCTATCTAGCCTTTTGTAACTAAAAGCTACTCTAATGAAAGAGTGGGTTAATGTGAAGTTTCATGGTGAAATATCCTCCTATAAAACTACAATTTTTGCAAGTGAAAACTGAACAGAATAGGACTTGAATCTGAGCTCTTATTCAAAGAGTAAATTAAGCTAGTGTACTCAAATTTAACAAGCTTCAGTGAACTTTATATTGGTCTATGGTTTAATAGGGCAAATAATAGCAGGATGTCTAAGCTATGCTAAACAGGTCTATAAATCTTGTAAACTTTATATGGACAATTACATGGAAGTTAGAAAAGTATGTTTTTCCTTATAATGAAATTTGTAGCAAAAACAAACCACAATATATCAATGTCACTTTACTAACACTGTTAAAACTGATACACTGTATGATGTCTTAGTAGCTGAACAACCAATTCACAAACCTTCCAACTATTCAACATTTCATGTTTATAACTAGATTTTGCTGGTTGAATGTTCGTTACCTGTACTCAAATATCCAACAATAAAATTTCATATTATATATCTGAAGTGCTTTGTTTACAGTAAATCAAAAATGATTACAATACTGGTAATAAAAAATTTACAGATTGTGTACAAAAAAGAATTATTCAAAGATATTTAATAATAATCAGTACTGATTGTATTCAAAATCATAGAGATATCGATAAAAATTGTCCCCACCATTCTGCTCCCCTATACAGTATATGCATAAAATCATTCTACGGTGAAATTGGCTATATCACACTCAGCCCTAATTAAATCTTTATTAAATTTCCATTTTGCTTCCTGTTTTGCACTTATAGACAATCCAAAATTTTTATTTATTTATATTTAGCATTATTAGTTTCTTTATTGATGAAAGATTCAAATATTCACTACTTCTTGTAAATATCTGTATCTTTTACATGATCCGAGTTGATTTCTCTAAAAAGTTTTTCATGTGATCACAATCTCCCAGAGTTCATCATGTTTCACATGTTCATTAGATTAGAGGAAGAAAAATGAAACATGAATCAATGTGCAAAGCACCATGACCATATCATTCTGAGTTGGCTTTGTTGATTAAGATCCCATTAACATTATGGTAAGGGATAAAAAACATATATATATATATATATATATATATATATTCTATTTTCGTATTCAGAGGTCGTAACTGGTGAAAATGCTTGTGCTTTGTATTCAAGCTGTTCATAACATAAGGAAAGCCCTTGAAAATATAAAAGATTTAAAACTCTGAATACTCAAATAATACATTTTGGTTCAAATATTCATTAAAAAGTACTTATTTGGATATACATTTCAGCTCTATTTATGTTAGTGATTCTAACTAAAATAGAATAACAAATAATTCTAGCAACTGAAACTGAAAATGTTCAAGCACACATGTTCTGCTTCTCTTTTTAGACTTTCAAGTAAACTTTTTTGCCTCTCAAACACATTCAGATGACAGTAATAAAATATGCATTTTCCATACTTTACAAGCACCTCATATTTATTTATATGAACTCACAAAATGTAGCTACCCACAAAACACAAACCTTTGTATGGCCCCTGGGTAATTTTGATGGTTTGCCCTATCAACTCGTTATCACGACGACCTCGTCCTCTGCCCATACCTCCTCCTCCTCCTCCACCACCACCAGGACCTGGACTGCGTCCCCCACCAGAAGGATGCATGGGACTGGTGATTCGGGGAGAAAGAGGACTGTATCCACCCATTGCTGGGGCTGGGGTAGGCTAAGAAGAAAAAAAAATTATGAATTGTTTATATTTATCTAAATAAAGTTACAAAACCCTATTAACTATCCACCTTGAGAATAGACTTAGCACACTCCATTCTAAAATACCAATTCAAGCTAAAAAACTAAAATATTCCCAAGAATCACATAAGTTCAACTGAATATTTCTGTTTGATTAACAAACCTTCTTATTAACTAACCAATAAAAATTTTTAACTAATTTCTCTTCTTTAGATTTCACACAATAAATAATATCAGTGTTTTCACTGTAAAAAAATGTAATACTTACAATCCTTTTAACATCAGCTTTGATTTCATAAAATCAAATGAGCTGGTCATGTCCAAATATGGCATTTCAGGTTAATTAAATAAGCCTTTTTAACTGATCAATTAGAAAAAAATGTTTTCAGTTACAATACTAAGTTGTCTGAAGAACTCAATTACTGTACAGATATATGCATTATTAGTCTAAGTAAAGAAATAAAATTTACCCTTGAACTCTTAACATTAACCCAAGAACTTCAAACATTATCAAACTCTGGAACTAAGCTCTATTCATTTTCCTTGCTGTTTCAGTAGCACAGAAATTTCTACTTGCACTATAACCTACCCTGAAAAATCCACTGTCAACTTTATAAAACTTATACTCTGGATTTGTAATTCATCTTTTAACTATAAGTTAACTACCTTAAAACTTCAATAATTATTTATCCAAGAACATGTACTTTTAGTTTTCCTAGAAATTCAAGTACTAATCCTAAAAATGTAAGACCTACATACAATAAAATTTCTAAGTACTAATAAACCTTGAAACTTCAACCACTATTAAATGACATACTTCAAGTGCTAATAATGAAGGTTCATACTTTACTGTTACTAAGCATCATACTCTGAATGCTACTTATCTTAAAACAACAAATATCACACATCACAAAATTTAAGATGCTACTAAATTTGTAATTTCATGTGTTAATAACTTGAAACTTCAAGTTTACAAATTTCATATTTCAAGTGATACCTACCCTGGAGCTTCCAGCTAGTGAAAGACTTCTTGTCTTGGAAACAAAAATTCCCCCATTTTCCAGCAACATGCGCGAGTGTAGGAAAGCGAAACTTCTATACAGATGTTTGATTTCCCCTTGAAATCCCTATGAAATGGTACAATCAAGTATTATTTGTAATTTTTGATGTTCACTTAATGTTTCAGATATTAGTTTCTTAACAAATGAAATTCTCACTAAAAGGTCATTTTAAGTATCTCTGAATGATAGAAAAACAGCTGTAAAGACATTAAAAGTAAAACTCAATTTCAAAATTAGATCCTATGAAGTATAAACATAAGCTGCACAAAATTCAAAGCAATTAAAAGTACTTTCTTAAATAAATCAGTTTATCAAAAAACTATATCATATATTATTGCTATTTTTTTATTGCAATGCTGGAGGTCATTCTCAAAAACACGTTGAATCAGATAGTCCACAACTGATTAAAATTTCTATGTTATGAATTATGATAATATAAATAATAAAACATGTTTCTCTTAAGACTTAAAATATGCTTGTAACTTTTAAGGTAATCTAGTTATCTGTAAGAAGATTTGTAAATCTATATAATTCTATATGTTTTTCATTGATAGTTTATCTTTGAAAGTGATAACAAGGTATGCTGTGTTTAGCATGTAAAGACACCGGATCTTCAATACATTTAGAAGTTGTTTCTGATGCAAGCAAAAATTTGAAAGGCAGGATGGGGGAGATATATATATATCTTTGAGGTGAAATACGTATTTTACAAAAACACTGATCACACATATATTTTGTTTTATATAATAAAAACAAAATTTTTAGAAAGTGTGTATCAAGTTTACTGTAAATCACAACATCCTTATAGAAATATTGCACAGTTTCATTAAATCTACACAAATGTCACTCTAATGATTCAAATGCAACAAGCAAATAAGTATTGGTTTCATTTTGATTTTCTTAAACTGCATTTTTTCAAAATGCAAAATTAACAAAAATACTGATATTCAGTATGAATCTTCATGTTAAAACTTTTTCAAAGTATTAAGACTTTAACAAAAATCCTGGAAAAACTATAAAGTTAATTATTTTCAGAGGAATAAATAAGCAAAGCATTTGAGGCATTTTATGGAAATTACAAATGCTTCTTGAAGAGAAAGTTGCGACATTAGGCAATTCTTCTTACCCATATAAACAGAAGTGATTGTAGATTAGAGAATAGATACAGAAAATTTTAACAGAAGTGATTGTAGATTAGAGAATAGATACAGAAAATTTTAACAGAAGTGATTGTAGATTAGAGAATAGATACAGAAAATTTTAACAGAAGTGATTGTAGATTAGAGAATAGATACAGAAAATTTTAACAGAAGTGATTGTAGATTAGAGAATAGATACAGAAAATTTTAACAGAAGTGATTGTAGATTAGAGAATAGATACAGAAAATTTTAACAGAAGTGATTGTAGATTAGAGAATAGATACAGAAAATTTTAACAGAAGTGATTGTAGATTAGAGAATAGATACAGAAAAGTTTATGTTAATTTTGCTAACTACAAAAATGAATCAACAAATAAAACGGAGTGATACATGCAAATAGGCAGTCATTTGACAACTTCTGATGATATCCAATTAGTGTCCAGTTTTGGTTTTAGTTCAAGGAGTCAGCAGTGATTCAGCAAATTTAAGCCAATTAGATGAAGAACCCACTTGTGAACTGGATATGCAATGCAACTTGATAAATCATAATAAAACATGGAAATATGTATAAAATGTCATGTTCTCAGATCCAAAATTGGTTCTCCCTGGCATTTCATGAGGCCAGACAAACCTACACCAGTTCTCCCTGGTGGTTCTAGAGGTCAGCTGAACCTGCAACAGTGGGAAGAAGAAGATACACCAGAAGAATGGCAGTGCTACAGTCAATCCAAAACCTCCATCATACACTCTTTTCAAGAATTCATTGCTATCCTCTCTAATCTAACAATGTATAATGGATAATGTGGGAAAATATATAATATGATAAAAGAGAACTCAGTTGTAAATGTAGTTAGATTTATTGGAGAAGTAACAGCCTTGTTGAAAGATATTTCATAAGAACTTCTAATCAGGATGACCAAACTGAATTAAACTGAACTATGTTGGAGTACATTTCACATAATAGCTTATTGGATAACTTGTTCAATTTAGTGTCCGAATTAATGACTCTTATAAAAGGTTGATGTTTTTGATGTAGAACTTTTTTCGAATGATTTTGGAGTTATTGATGTGGGAGATTATTGGAACTTTTGTGAATAAAACCTTATATGTTCTTGTATTAGATGTCTCTGAGTCAGTTCCTTCATTCTATACACATGACTGTCTTCCTGGATTTATAAACAAATTCTTTGTAACTTGTGAAAAGTCAATCCCAATGACTAGCTCTCTGGCTCACCTGTTACTTAAGTAAATATGTAGCATCTTTCGATTTTCATTGATGTTTAGCAAGTTCTTTATATTTTCCAATCTACTTATGAACATTTTAAACTAAAATTGTTAATGTTACAAATATTTTCAAATTTCATAAACTAAACAAAAAAGGCACTATAATACACACTTTGTCTAGAATATGGAAAAAAAATTATTATTAAATATTCTTACTGAGTGAGGCCCATCCACAACTTTGACAATATCTCTGACTTGTATTTGGTTCTGCTCTGAATCAAGAGCTACCGCTCTCCTAGTGTCTTTCTTCTTGGTGACTGACTGATGTTTCACATGTACAAGCTACAAAAACATAGAAGTTACAAGATAAAAATAAGCCTATGAATCACATAGTAATATAACCATCATCTTAAAATTATAGTATACACTACATGTACCAAGCATATCATTGTCTCCACATGTACTACACCTAATTCACTACAGGTAGAACACATGAATCAAAAGTTAATATCTGAAATTCAAGGTTTTAAATGTAACCAGATTACATATTGTATGTTGAGTAACAATTTCAGACTTAGGAATAGACTATTTTACTATTTAGCAGCATAATCTGTCTTAATGTGAACACAACCTATAAAGATATTTGCTTGGTGTGCATTTTTCTGGTGTATATTGGGAATGTAGAGTTTAGGAACACTTCATGGTCTGTTACTTTATACTTAAAAACCAAACAATCAGAATACCTTTCCATGCATATTCAGAACTTGAAAGTTTTCTTTCTCTAGTCTGACTATCACCCCAACTGTTTGAGCACTATAGACAGAAATATGAAAACAGAAAATAAAAATGCTTTTGAAAAACTAACATATTAAAGAATATAATCTTAATAAGTTTAGCCAGATGTTTACACAAGAAAAATCAATAACTACACATACTCTGCAAACTATTTAATGGTTTAAAAAAATTAAAACTTAGGATGATATCAGATGAATAGAGACAGAGGATGGTGCGTAAAATTTTAATTATTTTATCTTTTATCCTATCTTTTTGTTATTTCACTCGGTAACCTTGACAGAACTATTGTTTACTACTTAATATGTCAAAAGCATGCTGTACAAATGCACATTATAGATTTGAACAGAAGTTATTATTTAAACCAGTTGGAGCTTTGTACTGTCAGTTTCAGTTTGTGTTTCAGCAAACGCTCCTGAAGAAGCTGTAAAGCAAAATGTTGAGTGGTTAATTAAATAAAAACAACATTTTGGTGTTATAAGGTCATTTATTTCTAGTATTAACTCTCTCAATACGGGCTCGGTCAATTTGACCAACCATAAGACCTCTTTTTACTCGTACAGTCTTTATAGATTTGATAATACCAACTTTAATATAAGCAGTCTTTCAGTAAACATAAAAAAAATCATATTTTTTTTGTGAAGTATTTTTAATAAACTAAAAAAAGATTTGTCCGTGAATATATCGAGTATTTGTGTTGAATAATCCGTGTGAAAAGTGATTTTCATGTTATAGATTAAAAATACTTCTCTTTGTCTCAACAATCTCAAATTTCATTTGTGTAATCTCTAAAATCTCCTAAATACATTTCAAGTGTTTTCAGTAAAACTTTATATTTTATCTGTTCATTTTCTCTACCTTAACTTTATACAAGGTTGGTCAATTTGACCGACCTCGTAACCACCAAAAAAAAATTGAAATACATCTAAATTACCCTCTTTTTCTTTTGTGAATGACTTCAAATATAATATAAAACTACATTCGTTTATCCTAAGTAGCTTTAAACTCACAACAGTATACATCTATTTATAATTAAATTTTATTGTTTTATTGCTCTTTGAACTGTGTCTAAATATTATTTGAACCGTTATAAGTTGTAAATCACTGGGGGAATGTGCAGCTCACGTTATGCTATAGAATTACATTACCCATGAGCTACTCAGAGCTGCTCGCATGCATGAATCGTGAAATATTTTTATTATTATTAATTATTTTACCTAATCTAACCTTAACTAACCTAAAGAGATCCATATT